AGTCTATAGTTTATAGTCTATAGTTTATAGTCTATGGTTATAGTCTACAGTCTATAGTGTATAGTCTATTGTTATAGTCTACATCAGGGGTCGGCAACCCAAACTGCTCAAAGATCCATATTGGACCAAAAGAAACAAAAAATAAATCTGTCTGGACGCATAAATGTCAAAGTCTTATATAAGCCAACCAGACTCTAAGTGTATTATCTCACTATAATAAAGGACTACATGGGCTTAAATATATAATAAGCATTGATGATTAAATGTTAATCCTGGAGCAAATGTCACATAGCAGCATGAGGTGATGGAGGAGCAGAGAACTCTCCCATCGCGCTCTGCTTCAGCTCGCTTCACTGCACGGTTTAGGTTTTGTTGCATTGATGAAATTATAGAAACACAATAAAGGAATCTTTCTATAGTGGAAGTGTTTCTGTTGGGAGGAGATGATCGGTTCATGAAGAAAGTTCCCATCCCTGCATCAGAGCCCTACCTGTTTGATCTGTGGACGGTTTTCCATCCTTGCAACCAAACTAGCAGCAGTTGTGGAGTTTGGAGATGCAATCCACTTCTTAAATCTATCTTTGCTCTCCTCTATTTTATCCAGAAGTTATGCAATCTCACTTTTTCTCTCACTCCCACCTTGGTGGTCGGCTGCATATTTAGCCTTCCCTGGAAATGCCTTTCCAAATTACTCTTTCTATTTTTTGACAATGTCTCATTACAAAGCAAAAATGCAGGCAATCCTTCCGCTTTGATAATGAAAGCAAATGATTTGGTCCATTCTTCTTTGAATCCTCTTTTCTCTTCAGATTTCTTCCTTTTTTTTCCTTTTGGGATCCATGTCTGAGACACACCTGCAGCGCTGTCAAAAGTACACACATTTGAGGGAGGTCTTGTTGGTCTCCATCTCCCGATACGCTCTCGCCTGTGTCCGACCTTTCAGACATTTCAACATCTTTTTCTGAATCCGACATTGTAGCATGGCATAGACAATTCACGTTTACAGTTTGAAGAACACCTGCTTGCTTCTGATGATTTCCTTTAGCTAACCAATGAGTGTTTGCGTTATATGACTCATCCAATCACACTAGTTTACACTAGATGTGGATGGAGCCAATGATCTGCATTGGATGGAGCACATGACGGGAAATAAATATTTATAAACATTAAACCAGGGGTAACCAATTAAAAATCAGCAGGATACGAATAAAGAAAATCAACAACCAGTAAAGGTCCGTAGAAATTTTTGATTATAATCTGACGGTTGCACAGATTTGACGGTTGCAAGGGCAATGCGTCAGAAGCATAATTTGGCCTTTAGTCGCACTTTTTTTCATGGTTTGGCTGGAATTGCAACTTATGCTCTAATGTGACATATATAAGTTTTTTTCACCAGGAGAGGGCGCTATGTAGCTTTGCTTGCAACAACATGTATTCTATTAATACCACAGAAAGAAAAAAACGTTACAACTTACCACAACAAAACAAATTAGCTTTACAACAACGACGACTGAACAGAAATGTGCCTCCCAACAAAAATTCACATACTGCTGAATTCAAGCTGAAAGTAAATTAATATGCAGTCGAAAATGGCGATAGGGCAGCTGAACGACAGACTGGAT